TATTACTAGGATCAACGACCTGGAACGTTCGGGCGTTACAAGATTGCTCCACAATCACATCATATCTGATTGGCATACAATTTCAGCAGCATGATCATGGGGCTAGAAAAAAATCCTCCGTCCTTCCCGATCATTTATTTCGTTACCTTGGTCATTTATTGCCAACTGAGACATCTTAATCCATTTTCCGCTTTCCACTTAGGGCATATCAACCGTTTATCATCTCGGCACCTCTACTATGCATGCATACTAGGCCCACTTGGTACAAGCATTACAAAGACAATTACTTGAGTTACAAATTCCCGCTCCTTTTCACACAGCTCCAAGCAAGCAACAGTTTTGGGGCAATAAACTCATACTACACATTCAGCTACACGCTCGGTAATTCTTCTCATATTTTTGCGGCTTTTACAGCTTTCCACTTTTTTGTGGCTGATATATCTGTATTATTTGGTACAGGCAATCATTGACACGGATTATTATCCTTGCAATGTCTACAATTGATAGCCGCCAAACACCAACAAACGCCTCCATATTTTGGAGCTCTCCGTACTCGGCACATAGAAATATCTCTAGCTCGACACAGAAGTCCATATTTTGAAGCGATTTTCACACTTGGCAATACACTCCACCCTCGCCCGGGGGTTACAATACGGCGGCCTACACCCTTACTGTAACGACCCCAAAATGCATATAAGGCATTATCTTTATTTACCTATGGGTTAATGTGCTTTAATGTAATTATATCTATATGAATTAAGGAATTATCTGTTGAGTTACGCCCTTGAAACTGAAATTACCGAGAGCTCTCCGTACTCGGCACATAGAAATATCTCTAGCTCGACACAGAAGTCCATATTTTGAAGCGATTTTCACACTTGGCAATACACTCCACCCTCGCCCGAGGGTTACAATACGGCGGCCTACACCCTTGCCCAGGGGTTATAATACCGCGGCCTACACCCTTACTGTAACGACCCCAAAATGCATATAAGGCATTATCTTTGTTTACCTATGGGTTAATGTGCTTTAATGTGATTATATCTATATGAATTGAGGAATTATCTGTTGAGTTACGCCCTTGAAACTGAAATTACCGACTTCATGGGTTCAAAAATAAAAATTGAGTACTTGAATATGTTAATGGGAATTTTTAGAGCTATTTGGGAAAGTTAATTGGAAATTTATTTCGTCTGATTCGTTAGGTGGTTAACTTTGCACTGCAAATTGAAGGCCTTAGAGGCTTCAGAAACCAGAACGGAGTACATAGCTATGATCACATAATTTTTAGAGTCATATGAGAAGTTTAATTGAAATTTGATTTCGTACTATTCGTAAGGGCGCGTTTGGCTCTCCTTATTTGTGATAAGCTTTTATATATATATATACATATGATATGAGTTGTTGAACTCATCAATTGGAGTCCAAAAATATCTGAGGGAGAGGAAGAGAACCGTGAGAGAGAGAGAGAGAAGGAGAGACAAAGCTTCTCTATACGAGAGAGAGCTCAATATTCATGGAGGTTTGAAGATAAATTGAAGAGAGAGGAAGAAGATCAACCATGGAAGCTTGGGAAATTGAAGAGAGCTAAGAGAAAGGCAAAGATTGAGCTAAGGTATAGAAATCTATCTTGAATCTTTAGGATTAATGCATCAATTTCATGAAATCATAATGATATTGGAAGATTTGAAACCCATTTGGCTTAGGGTTTTATGTATGTATTGAATTGAGCTCAATTTAAGAAATTAGAACTTGGGTCCTATGAATTTGTTTATGATTGGAGCTTAACCTTATGAATACCATATGAAATGAAATCTAGATTGTCCATAGAACAAGATTATGCAAGAATCAAGTGTGTTTGTGGGTTGTGTTTGGAGAACTTTAAAGATTATGAAAGATAAAGCATTGATCTTGAATTTGAGGCAAAGATTGATCTGTTTGAAATGGAATTACACTTGAATGATGTTAGTTTATCATGTTGTGGGGTAATTTTACATGTTTTTGGGTGATTAGAGTTGAAACCAAGCTTAGAAATGGAAAGAACAAGTATTAGAGCCAACAAACATTTTCGGATAGCAGAATTTGCCCAGAGCCGCAGGTGCGGCGGGGCTTCCCGCACGTGGGGCAGTCCATTCCAGCACCCAAAAATGATTCTGAAATAAAAGCACCTTGTCCCGCACGTGCGGCTCAATCCTCGCATGTGCGGCCCTGTTTCCCGCAGGTGCGAGACAGCTCTGTTTCAGCCAACTTCAAATAAGCATATCTCTTGCATCCGGACTCCGTTTTAAGTGATTCTTGAGCCTAAATTCAAGCCTCGGAAGTCTAGTTTCCAATGGTAGTGGTCTCACTCCCAAATTCTAAGTACACAAATAGATATGCTCAAATTAGTGAATGTTGTTCACTTTCTATCCAACCATTTCATGCCATTTTCTCATCTAACCCAATCTCCTTTCATTTCTTCCTATCTTCCTTGACCTGAATTAGGATTCATTGAAGACCAATGAGTTTAGAACCAACATAACTAATTGATCAAAGAGAACAAGTAAGGGATCGGTTATATTCTCATATTATGCTTTGTGTATTGTGTTTGTAGGTCAAGACGAGGACATCGTCCCATTGCTACCGGAAGCCCATCACTGTGAGTAATATTAGTGTAACGATATGTTTTACTTACTTCTTGTGATCATGATTTATATATCGTAGTTTGTGAATGGCATATACTACTGTCATCGTGCTTTGATTGAATTAATGGATATGATTGAACGATGGCATTGATAAGGACTTAAGGTCGTTTTGTTCCTATTAATAAAAGTGAGCCCGAGGCCGTTATGATGTGAATTGTTTATGACTCATGGCCCTAAGGCCGAGGGAGATGGAGACATGCCGATGTTCCATCTACCCTATAATGATATGAATTAGATACACCTAACATAAATACACCTAAAAAGTAAAAAAATTATAAAAAAATCTTTTAAAAATTTACCAAATACCAAACCTTGAGTTTGCGGGGGGCTGTTAAAATTTACCATCACCTACCACCAATTTACCATCACCTACCACCACCTACTCCTCACCTACTCCTCACCTACTACACTCACCCTCTCCTATATAATGAGCCACTCACCATTTGTAATGAAAGATATCAACATACAATCAATAATATACATCAATTTTTCTAACAATACTCATTTAACTAACCTCCGTACATTACTATTATTCACTGAGCCTTGCTCACTCCATTTTTATATATATTTATGTAGGTGAGCCATTGGTGATCGACATTAGAGTTGTATTGAGGTCCACCTCTCTGTCAAGCCACCCGGGTTACGCCTCCGCGTCAAGGCTTTAATTTTGTATTGGAGAGTTATGTAATTCATTAGTCTTATGTAAGTGTGTGAGATCTATATAAATTCTGTGATTATATATGTAAATATGAAAGTGTATTTAAATGTTTAAATTAATCTAAGTCTTCATGTATGCACAAGTTCAATGGGCGTTATCCTTATGTTAGTATTTGCTTTCGCTTAAGGCCCCGTAGTTGAGTAAATATTCGTGAAATTTTGTTTTGAGGCCTATGTACAGGCCGGTCATGGACCAAACTTTTAGGGGCGAGTTTGGGTCGTAACACTTATCCGGAGGTTATAATACCGCGGCCTACACCCTCGCCCGGGAGTTATAATACCGTGGCCCATCGTTACAGAGATATCTGATGTAGACTCACTTATGATATAGTTTATTTGGAACTCACCCCTCTCCCTTATATACATATAGTTATACATATATTTGTGCATTCATCCATACATACATGCATTCATCCAGTCATTCATTCATGTTACTCATTTTCAAATGTATTATTTGTCACGAGATCTAACATCTATTTGAACAACATAACTCGGCGATAAAAACTCTCATTCCTTCTACCGTAGACAATAAAAATTTTGGGGCAATTATGGTAGCCAGAAAAAAATATATATTAGCTGATTAGGGTTAACTCAAACAAGGCCTACAATGGGTCTAGCCCAAACAAATATCACACCTCCCCATCTATATAAAGGGGGCATCCCAGAAGAGGGGGTAGGCCTCATCTCACTCTGCTCCACACAGCACACAAAGACTCTTCATTTTAATAAATTCATTCTTTTAATCAAATGACTAACTTTACTATCGGAGTGTCATCGGTAGGCAACCCCGGTTGGGTGGCACCGATCATGCTCATCATTGCAAATATACAAGGACAGAGTTCATTTCTTCGTTGGATCTCTACAATCCATGTGAAAGGATATTTCATGATCTCACAGACACGATCTCACACACAAAGAGAGAGACACACACACACACACACAGCGCAGCAAGACAAACCAATGAACTATAGCGGAACCAAAGAGAACCAGAGAGGGAGATAGATCGCGAATCAATCGTGATGCTGAAGCAGACTGAGAGAGGTGATGACGTGAGAGGTGACGACGACTGCTGAAGCGACAATGACGGCGGCTGAAAAGCGGCGACGACGGCTGAAAGAGGCGACGGTGCTAGGGTTCGCAAAGACTGATCGCAACCTTAGGTTTTCGAACACGGCTCTAATACCATGTAAGATTTTTGAATAAAGTCTGTATATTCAATTTGTTTGTTTACATTGTATAGCCCTAAATCCATGACTGAAAAAAAGAAATACAACAATCTTGCCTAATACGTGCCTAATTCCTAATATACACAATGCCATATATACACAACACAACAATCTTGCATTATACGTGCCTATTCCTAATATACACAATGCCATATATACACACAATGCCATATATACACAATATATTCTCACAGAATGATCATTGGAGGGATTGGTTTCACTTGTAATATCAGAATGGTATCAGAAAGCAAAGACACTAGGGCAAGGATTGGCACTCCCAAGAGAAGATGAGAAAGGAGAAAGAAGAATGTGAGCACAAGAGACAGGTTCCATTGCCAGGCACAATTAATATAATGAGAATTTTGGTGTTTACCTGGGACATAATGATGGTGGCTAATGTAAGCAGATGGATTGCATCTTCTGCAGAGAAATTCACAAAAGACCTTGGCTATCGCCGCAACCACCTGAGTCAATAAAATGAACACATCAACTATAGGAAACATATCAATCAAACTGAAACAAGAATAAATGAATTTTGCAAAGAAAATCAAGGACACGAATGTAACTAAAAGATAGATGATAGCCTCTGAAATTGCACCTGAATGTGCAAATCAAGTTAAGGAACCATCCTAAATTTGCTAAGTCAAGCAAATGAAAATTGTCAACATGCCAACCACATATAACATCTGAGATAAATTTATTGAGGCACTGACCTGGATAGAAACCCTGAACGTTGTTTCCATATAGAAGCTCCAAAAACTAATTTTAAAAAAAGTTTGCATATCTATGAAAGTCCTCTTTACTACTATTATTTCTCAAAGTATCTCTCTCCCCCTTATTGAATCTAACATGGGTATGTCAAATTTTGTTCAACATGAAATCCAAATGGGCTCTAACATGTGTCTGATTATTTTTATTAATTTAGATATCACCCTTTATTTTTAGATGTTTCAAATGTTACACTATAACCACTTCCCTTATTTAGTGTCTTTCTTTAGCATCATGTAGAACAAACGTGCACAACAATTTATCTGGACCAAACCAAAATTGAAAACCCCAAAATGTTGTTGCAGCCAGTGAAGTCAGCGCAACAAAGATTTTATTTTATTTTATTTTTATCAGCAAAAGAAAAAAACTATATTGATGAAGCAAAAGCATACAAATACTACAACCAACATCAATAAGGGGAGGCAAAGTGCAAAGAGTATCAAAGCAAAGCATAACCATCCCAACTATGTTGGCACCGAAATGCAAGCCCAATCATTTTCTAGCACTATACCAAGTTGGTGAGAAGCCAACCCACAAAAAACAAAGGCCAAAGGAAAAAGAAAAAAAAAAAAAACAAAAGTGAGACTCAGCCAAACCCAACAACAATGACAAAACAAAACAGGCCCTATCCTAATAAGCTTCCCTTCCTATGCAAAGACAGCCATACTTCATCCCAACCTCAGCAGCAAACCAAGGAAACATTACTTAGGACACCTACTAATCATGAAAAAACACACCATTAGCATTATAATACTGAAATTGAAGAAGGTGACACTAGGCAGAATATAATTTCCCAACCAGTAATACAACAAACTACTAATGGGACAACACTCAGAAAGAACTTACTGTGAGGTGTACATTAGAAATAACTAAAATAGAACACCCACATGATGATGATAGTATCAAGATGCAAGACAGACAAAAATATGCTTCCTCAACAAAAAACTAAATAGCCATCAGTTAAAATAGCAGCTGCATTATCAACTTACCTATCAGGAAAAAAGATGGATAATTACAGCTCCAAAACAATGACAACAGAAATTAGTTTTTGATCAGCAAAGCGTAAATATCGTTTTCCTGGCACTGTCAGATGAATATACTTAAACTAGTATGGCAGTTAGACTTTGCTGAGGGGAAGTGGAGATATTTCATTCTCTGTTTCAGGTCTCTACTTGTAAAGGGGGAGGGAAGACAACAGGAATAGATATGTGACTCAAAAATGCTCTAAAAATGTTGCAGCTCTCTAAGTCAATATTAAATTGAGGAACCACTAATATCAGCTAGGAGAAAAGGTGCAAAAATGAGGAAGGCAGCTGTGTTGGGCAAGACTTCATGGGATAATGGTGAACATGAAGCATGTTTTGTTTTTGAAACTGCCCCGCAAGTAAAGATCCAGACTAGCAAATTTTTCACTTGCACCAAAATTTGCTCTCAACATCAGATGTTTTCTGCCATATGAAGTGGATAAAGTAAAATATGTTCACGTTAGTAACACTGGAGGACTCTAAGAGAGGTTGCAAAAGGATCAGAAGATCAGCTTGCAAAAGGATCCTAGACAAAAGAAGAATAAGTGTACAGAAAAAGACTGGAACTAGCAGAGAGGGCTCAAAATCTACAAAAGAGGAAGGGTGCAGAGTTGAGGAAATCAAATAATTCCTTTGGAGGCAGTACCATTCGAACATATTGGCAGTTGAAGGAAACATGATTTCTCGGAAGACGCATATTAGTCGTGGTGATTGAAACTATTGCATGCATTATTTTCTGATGTTTGGTAGCATAACAAGCACGGAAAAAGAGTGAGCAACTTAGGCACTCCTCATTCTTGAATTGATGGCTGCAAGTGAAAGGGTATATGGAAAAATGATTCTAGCCAGTGCTAATTTAGCTGTCGTTGATGGAATTGCTGCATCAACAAGCTAGTTCTTCTAGTGAGCTAGCAATGTCTAGTGCTTTAAATTAGAGGAGTGGAATGGAATCACAGAGAACCACAAATACAGCTTCCACCAAACATTTCAAATATCTCAATTCCTTTTGAAAATCCTTGTGACACAAGGAAAGTGGCTAGAAGAAAGCAGAGCTTTATCCAACTCCTAAGCACATTATTTCAAATTCAATACAGATGCTGATGCTTATGCTGATCAGCATCATAAATGTTGCAAGTGTTGGTGATGACTAATAGGGACTTTAAGGGAAATGTGGTGGTAAAGCTGCAAGAAACCAAATAACTTTTTAGACCATCCCCTGGTGGAGCCAAGGCAATACTAACAGGCTGCTTGTTGCAGTCATGGCTCGCCCACGCAGCCTCTGCCAAGTGGCACTCCAAGTCTTGGTAACATCATGGTAACCTAGGATGGGAGCAGGCTATGTTACTTGGAACGTGGATCATTCCAGTTCATGGAACGGGAATGGGAATGCAATACGCTACATCCTTTAAATTGTGGTACAATAAGGGTAGACTTGTATAGGTTTACGCTACAAGAATTTAAAGTAATTCTAGTCTAGTGTAATTTTGTTTTAACAACTAGACATCTAGTAAAATATAGGTTTTTTTCCCCCTAATTGATCATGTAGCAACATTATGGTCCATTTTTGACGTTTTGTCATATCAAAACTTCACTCGTCTCAGATTTTAGTTCATTAAATTTGATAAAAGAAAATATATTGGAAAAAAAAAAATTTTGGGATCGCCATGAATTGCTAAATTTATCATTTTGGAATGAAAGTGCAGCATGTAATCGGAATGTGCGTTCCAAAACGTAAATTGTTAAGGTATCAGTGTTTTTATGGCAACACTAGAACGGCGACTAGGGACTCAGCTAAGCATTATTGGTGGATATACGACTTGGAGGCTGGACCTACAAAGGGTAGAAAGCCAGAGTAGAAGAAAAACAAAAGCAATCAAAGCATAGAATCGAAGATCAAAGCCCTAAAGAGATCACATGCAAAAGAGAAAAGAAAGTGTGATGAGCGAAAATCTTATGCATTTATCTCCAATTCTGCATCCTTTTTAACTTAATTCCTTCTTTATAATATGAAAATAGCTTGATTAACATGGATTAACATTGTGAAATTAATAGAATTGATGGTTAATTTATGGGTCTATTATAGAATTCCTCTATGTGCTTCATAGCCCAGTATTCTTTCAGCCCAAAACCCTAACTTGTTGACTCCTAATCAACCCAGCACCCAAAACCCTAACTTGTTGACTCCTAATCAACCCCAGCACCCATTTCCCTAGAATTTAGGCTTTAATTCCACAATAAAACCCCTAAAAATAGCCATTGTTCAGAGAATTCTAACAACATGCGCTAAAAATCTGGCAACCTCTCCCTTTGAAAATCAAGCCAATTCTCACCCGTTTTATGTCTATAGATAGATAGATAGAAAGATAGATTATACAATTAAATGTAAGTATTCTTTCACAAATAGGAACTCAATTTTACCGCTGTTTACAGTCGAAGAGAAAGAGACCCTCATCACTTGATCGAAGATAGGACAAAGAAAAAACATAAAGTACATACCTTTAGACTCTGACTTAAATTATGAAAAATTAGGGCTTTAGGTTTTTACCTTCCATGCACGCTTGAAGAAATCAGCCAACATTTCCATCGCAAGAAGGGAAACAACAGTAAAAGAAAAAAAATTAGAAAGTACAAGACTCTTGAAGAAAAATTGCAGCTTTTACCAATCTAAGCAAAAGATGGGAAGGCAGAAGGGTAGCCCAGGTCAGAACTGAAAAGGAAAACATATAAAGAAGTAGAAAAAGAAAAGGTAGTCCGAAAAAAAGCCTCCCACAGAAAGTAACGGCCGTTATCCTCTGTATCGATATTACGAGAAACTGACTAGCTATTAATTTGAATTGGATTCTGATAATCTCCGTCTTTATTTCAATATGAATTGAACCATTCCCACGTACACAAGTGTATGGCCTAGACAAAGGTCCCATCTTCCTAATCATCTCTAAAGCGGGGCAAAATTTCCCAACCCGATTGTATTCGATCAAATCCAATTCTAATAAAATAGGTTTGGAAGAACATTGATAAAGTAAGATAGTATAGGGTAGATAGGTCAAAATTGTCAGGGGTAGGGTAAAGTACGAAATTGTATCACTAAAGGAGTTGACTTTAAAATCAAGAATTCACGCGTAAAACCCCAAAATCCCTGATCTATTGCCATCCCTTAATATTCACAACTCTGGCCAACATTAAAGTATATAAAACAATGTCAAAAAAGTAATCTCAGTTCCTTTCTTTGATGATAGATTCTTGAATGATCATGTTGGCAAGCTAAGCTCAAGAGCATAGTAACAGTTTGGTTCTTTTGCAACGGCTGAAAAAATAATTCTAGTTTTCATTACATCAATGCAAAATTAATTCTTAAGTGAGACAATTACATTGAGATATAGTGCTTTATTTTGATATACTATAACAAGCTACTACTATATTGATGAGTATGCTAAATTTATCAGGAATGGAAAAATTAATTCACATTAAACTATATTTAACTAAGCAAACATTTCAGAATTATCTTTAATACTAGCTGTGGCTTCTGTATCTCCAACAATCAATTGATGACAAAAACCCTAAAGCGGTTTGTGCGTATACCATGCTAGCTGAATGCACTTTAACCTAACTTTATTTTTCATATGAAGATAATATATCATGAAAAGGATCACATGGAACATGATATAATTACTTTACCTCCACAAAGAGCTGTCGCTTAGAGCAAAGTGGCACCTTCCTAACAGCTTAAGTTTTGGGACCAGTGGTCTGGTCTAGAACTGGTCTCACCCCGTGTCATCTTCCTCTTAGTTGATGCCATTTAAGTCATTTCAGCCCGTTTTAGTAACCTGGACAGATTCTTGACATAATCTCTATCACAGCTGAAACTTACTACCGAAAATGGTAATTTATGTATTTTCTTTATCAAGGCAGCTATCTTTTTCAAATTTTTTACCTGACCATGACACTTCCATAGAAGTTGTCATCGGCACTCTCTGGCATGTGAGAAGTAATATAAATAGTAATCACAATAAGCACAGTACTGCGATCTTCAAAGCATGGAAAATCCCAACACGACATACTTCTTCTCTCAACTACCACTCTCTCAATCACTAGAATTGCCTCTCCTCAGACCCAATCCACCTCAAAACTCCTACACCAGATAACATGTTCCAGCACTACCCTACAAAGACTACTAACTCATCTACATAATTCAATTCAAAACAACTGATTGGTTATGGTAATCGAAAGAAACTATAGGAATAAAAAGTTGGTTATAAAATGCTATGATGCTGCTATAAAGAGAAATTGCAAATTATGAATTATTCAAAAGTACCATTCCATTTCAAAATTTAAAAGTTGGTTATAAAATGCTTTTCTTCAATAGGAAACTTTGTGATGCACCCGCGTATCCAAAGAAAACCACCACAAATGACATTGGAAACTGCAGAATGAAATCCAAAAGAACCCCCTCCAGGGGATTATGATTATATATCCTCATGGAATTTGATAGTAACAAAATTATAAATAAATAATCTTGAACTATTACAGGTATGTGAAGGCACCATCCAAATAAATCTCTCAACAAATTTTAAATACCCAACAAACACAACAGCTTATAGAGACAAACAGAGTCACATACAAACAAGAACAGAATTTCAAAACTAAAAAATTTCACACATACCCAAATAAGATTGAACAATTTGATTCAAAAGCAGTAATCAATAAAAAAATTAAAAATAAAATAAAATTTAATCTATGAGACTCAATTGGGTGATTAAACAAAAGATGGTTTCAAAGTTCAACAAAACCCAGAAACAATATTACTGTTTAGAACAAAGCCCTAAACTCGATTGTGGTCAAATTGATACGAGAAATTGACAAAGAGTCGAATGGAAGAGTTTTGGGTAACTTGCGGTGGCGGTGGCGACGCCGGAAGTTCGTATTCGCCGGAAAAGTCATCTCGGAGGATCCGATGATCTTGTCCGAGATATCAACGACTAGAATTTCATTCTGCCTTACGTACCTAAGCCCTTTGTAAGAACAAAGCCCATGGGCTCTCCTTTTGGACTTTTTTCAGGCCCAGGTTAAACCTTTACAACTGGCCTGGCCTATTGGGTTTTGGATTAAAAGTCTAATCCAAACGCCAACTCATATGCCTATCCTAAGGCCCATACATTTTCACAAAACTAAAAATACATATAATTTAATAACATAATTTTAATAGATGTAATTTTATATTTTAATAAATAAAGTTAATTTTTGTTATTTTTTATGATTTAACATACAATTTTAATGGTTGTGATGCACTAATTTTGTATTATTTTGTAAATGATTTTTTAATTTAACAGAAGGAGCTTTAATTAAAAGCCCAATTACCCCAATATGGGTCAAGCCTATCCCAAAGCACACAAACCCATGTTTTTCAGTCCATGGGTAGGTCTTCAACTTTAAAAATGTATAATAGGCCTGAGCCCAATAGGTGGCCTGGCCCAAGCCCGACCGATTGACTAATCAAAACCTATGGGTCTGGCCCATCATTGACCCATAAAATTTTCATTGGCAAAATTACAAGTGGAGTTTATATTTTGGTTCAAGTGAAGTCACAGTTTTCTTTTTGCACCAAAACATGAGATTACTTGCACGCTTATATTTTGCAGTTATTTTCTCCTTTTTATGCTTATTTGCAAAAATAAAAATAAAACAAAAATAAAGTAACGCTATGTTGCTTTTTTCTTATATATCATATATAAAAAAATAAAAATATATAAAGAGAAAAAGAAAAAGGAGAGAAAGTGTCCTCAAATGTGTGCCAAAGACAAATAGCTTCTAAAAAAGGGCATGGGCTTTTTGAGTTGGATGGGATATGAAACCAATTCATTAAGACCAATAGTCAATAAAGAAAGACTTATCAATAATACTTTCATACCTAACATCCTAAGTCCCCCAACATTATCAATTACGATAATATAAACATGCTTGTTTGTTTAATATAATTTCCACACAACCCCACTTTCTTGTGTAGTTTGAATGGGTGACCAAATGTAATTAGAAGCATAATAAAATTGCCCTCGGAAACCTAGCAAGTAGACTCGTGTTCTAAACCATTAGATATTTTGTTAATTGAAATGATAAACAAATCTATAAAGTATGATTAGATTGTTCGCTTTGTCTATTGAGAAGTTAAAGAATGATCAAATCACTTGCTAAAGCTTTGAGAATTTTTGTTTAGGTTAAAAGGCCTTTAAACATCTCACCAATGTTTAATAAAATCAATTTTGGTTTATGGACACCGTGTCACGTGCAATAGTAGAAAGATGTATAACAAACTAAAACCGTGTTAAGTGTACAAGTGTCGGTCAGCCATGTTTTGTTAGGTAAGTTGGTAGCTCTTTAATCTAAGAAAGATTAAAAATGATAGTTTATCATATTCATTGTTAGGTATGTTATGTGTTTTCTCAAATTTATATGGTTATTAATATTTTTATGTGTATTTAAATTAAGTTAGACCTTGAAATTTACTATGAATACAATGTATATTATTTTTGTTAATATTTATGTAGAAATGCTACTCACTGCAAAAATTCAAGTCATGCATTAATTTGTGTTTAACATTGACGGGTGAGTGAGACTTACCATGCGCAAGCCAACTAACACTAAAAATATTATGAAAATTATTATGAAAGATTCTCCACCGTTAGATTACACATGTAAGAAAACACTACACACTAATTAAGAGATAAAAAATCTTCATGAAACATTTCATAATATTTTTTTTCATGATCCCTAATATTATTTAAAATGATTTTCCAAATCTAGGTGCTATACTATTAGTGTTACCAACTTTGTGTTACCAACTTTTTAGTTAATGTTTTATCAAATACCTATTAAAACTTTGTTGCGTCTCATTATTCTATTTCTACTGCCAAACCTATACCTAACTATGATTTGGTTGCTTTCATTTCCACTTTTATGACTGCATAGTTTTGATTTCAATTTTTTGAATTTAATTGGATTTTTTTTTTATTTAGTAAATTTTTAAATATTTCAAGCATTTTTTTTTACTTTTTAAACACACGTAACCTAAAAATACCTAATAGGCAATAAATTTGAAAAAAATATTTTTAAAAAATTGATAAATACACAAGAATACAAAAATTTACTGAATTTTATATATATTGAATTTTAAAAAAATCATAAATATTATAATTTTTAATTGTATTTATATTAAATGTATCTAAAAAGTTAAAATATTACTTAAAATATTACAAAAATTCACAAAAAAATTTAAAAAAAAAAACAAAAAATTAAAAATTAAATTTTAAAAAAATTAAATTGAAAAAATTGAAACCAAACATAATTCAAAAATAAAAGGGGTCACAATCTCAATAATTTATGTTAGTTTACCAAATTTAAGAGGTGATTTAAGAAAAATAGGAAAACAAACTTTCTTATTCTAAAGCAATACGAAACAAACAATAACTCGTTTTGGTTTTGATTCCTCAGCATGTAGGAGTGATAAAAGAACCAAATTGGTCGAGTTCAATTCGTGTTTGGTTTGTTAAAAGATTGTTTGAGTTTGATTTGTTAAATAAATGAGTCAAACTTAAACACATTTTAGAACTTGTTAAGATTTTTTAATTAAATTTCAATAATCAATTGGTCATTCACCTCGGTTTAATAGATCTAAAATTATATAAAATATCAAACTACACAAGTTCGGCTCAATAAAAATTTGTTTGAGATCGGATCAAAAATTTAACAAATTAAATTTAAACAAATATTGAAACACCTTAAAATTAACAAATCACACTTAAACAATCAACTATTTAGCTCATTTAATTTGCTTATTACGAAGTGAGTTCACCATAACTAGGTAGAATAGACATTATTATTATATTTTATTTTATTAGATTTGGGGGTAAGACAGAGAGAGCGACATTTTTGTATCCACACCATGGCATAAACTTGTCTTATAGTCAAGAGTGTTCAATTCTCTCTATAACTCAAATCACTTTCAATAATTTTATATATATATATATATATATATATATACATAAGTATTTTGAAAAATTGAATGTTGTAATAATACCACGCATTTGCCAAATGTACATAAAAAAATAATAATTTAAAATTATGAAATCCTCGCATTTTTTTAAATTTTTGAGAACATCTTCAACGTTTTATTCTTTTTTATTTATTAAATTTGAGTAAAAAAATTATCTAATATTGCACATTTTAACCAAAAAAAAATTAAATTTTCATCAAAGCACTAGTCGATCAAAAAGACAACCGAACGGATGTTCAGCCGGTCATACGGTTTGGTGTAAAAGTAAAATGACTACAATTTGAAGGACAATTTTGTAAGGAAGAAATTATTCAGGAAAACGTCCGTTTTAGCGGTCACTTATAAATTTAATAAAATGCTCTAGGCATTTTCAATTTGATAAAAAACTTAAGACATCCTCAAATATTAATTTGATGTTATAATTGGAGTACAAAAATTAAAATTTTTTTGTTAAATTTAAATTTAATAAATATATATATATATATAATCTTACATAATTTTTTTAAGTGAGGTGTTGCTTGGAATCCATCCCCTCTTGACTAGGGAGTTCGAAATGGAATCTATATCACCAAAGCAATATTGATTGTTGTCAAGCCAAGGTACAATTATCCAGAGTATTGTC